CAATCTAATTCTTGCTTTGAAATGACTGCACAGTCAAATGTCTGAATTCCTCTGCACATTTGTGAGTATCCTTAAATATAAGAATCTATTTTTAAAATAAAGAAAAGCTTCTTTCCCGAACAACTTTTCCTCTGCATGTCTAACATTTTTGTTTAAGAACCATGCACTTGTGCCTTCATATTTCAAATAAATGTTGTTGCTTTTTTTGTTTTTTTTTTTTGCTATTTTTAATCTACTGGTCATTCAGGATATTCCTGGCATTCATAATGTAATAATTTATTTCTTCATCTAAGCTCATCAAATTTATGGCATGTGACATATATTCTGAATCTTGATACCACCCAGCTAGAAATTACTCAACAGGTGTCATCCATATTAGTACTTTCAATCATTAAGTGAGGTTAAATATAATGTTCAGTCAGCTACTAAAAATTACGTTGTTTTTCAACAAGTTTGTTTCTGATGATCATTAATTAAACATAAACATGACTTTGAAAGTTGAGGATAAATATGAATCAAAATATCTCCATGATAGAACAAGTGGTTGCAAAAAGGACAAGTATGTACACTTTGGACCATGTTTCTTAAAAAAGTACTGCCATATATTTGCATACACACAAATATATGTTACCTCGATGGCTGCGAAGGTGGCTCAGTGGTAAAGTGTTTGCCTTGAACGCATGAGGCCCTGGGTTCGATTCCTCGGAACCACATAAGCAGAAAAAGCCAGAAGTGGTGCTGTGGTGCAAGTGGTAGAGTGCTAGCCTTGAGCTGAAGAGCTGAAGGACAGCACTGAGGAACAGAGTTCAGGCCCCACAACCGACAAAAATAAATAAATAAAAATTAAAAAAAATATATAAATAATATATATGTATATATATACATATATATGTTATCTATGAAAAGTAAATTTTTGTATTATATAAAATTTGTATATTTGGGTTTTCTTTTTATCATAAAGAAACTTTTAAGCAATCAGAAAAGAGTAAATTTGTATTTTCTAAAATTCCAAAGTTGTTCCAAGGTTGATCTAAATTCTTTAAGTTTTGGGTTTTTGTTGTTGTTGTTGTTTGTTTGTTTTGGTTGGTCATGGGGCTGGAACTCTGGGCCTGGGCATTGTCCTTCAGCTCTTCAGCTCAAGGCTATTATTCTACTGCTTGAGCCACAGCACCACTTCTGGTTTTCTTGTGGTTTATTGGAGATAAGAATCTCACAGCCTTCCCTGCCTGAGCTGGCTTTGAACCCCAATCCTCAGATCTCAGCCTCCTGAGTAGCTAGGATTACAGGCCTAAGCCACTGGCACTGGCTTCTTTCAGTTTTTATTTAATCTACTTAAAAAATATATTTACCCAATCATATATCCTACTTCCTAACGTTAAGAAAAACATACTTCCTAAATTCTTTTGCATTGGTTAATCTTCCACATGGACTTAATCATCCCCTCCCCCACCACTTCCCTTAGGATTTTACAATATCACTATTTCCCCTTTTCCCTAGATATTCCTTTATGCCCCCTATAACCTCTTCTACCTCCTCAGTTTACTTCCTCCATTTCCAAAACTACCCTCAACCAGTGTTTCCTTCAAGCTGTATGCTTTTTTTCATCTTTTCTTCCATTGGAAATTTCCAGAAAAATGATTCCTGACTCACTGGATATACCTACTTGTCATTTACTTGTTAACACACTATCACTCTGTAGATCTCCACATACAGGCCCAGGAATTCCTGCCTAAATACTTGAACTAACTTCCTCATTCCAGCATACCAATTAGTTGCCACATTCCACTAATCTTATTTTGCCCTGTCTCTCCAGGCCATCTGTAATTAATTCACTGTCTTATTGATGGTAAACCTCACCACTCTATCTTTCCTGACTCCTATAGCTCTATCTGCCATGTATATATTAACATCACCCATCAGAAGAGGGTAGCTTCTTTCACTGTTGAATTTGCCTAGATCTCCTACAGAATCTCCTTATCATCACTCCAACTATTCCTTTAATCTAACTGCTATCTTTTGTTAATTTATATTTTTATTGTAAAGATACTGTACAGAGGGGTTACAGTTACATAAGTAAGGGAGTGAGTATATTTCGTACCAATCATTGTTACCCCTTGCTTTGTTTTTCCCCCACTATCCCTTCACCCCACCCCCCATCTCCCCTTTCCCCACAAAGTTGTAAAGTTTTCAACATACTGTCAGCCTGTATTGCTTTTTGTTATTTCCCTTCCTCCTCCCAAATTAGAAAAATGTATATACAAGATTCAGGGCACCAGAATCAAATACAGTGAAAACAGGGGTTAATCTCTTGCTATCTTTTTTTGATCTTTAGAAGCACAGGTATAATTACCTAAAGCTATTTCCCATGTGATATTCAAACAGCTACAACAAAGTCTCCATGTTAAAATGTGAATGTATCCCCCATTTATCCTGTCTTCCCTCATGACATGCCTTACCTTCCTTACATTGTGGTTCCAATGTACTCATATATACCAACTACTTGGAAGTCATTTAACTCCCCTCTGTAATTCATCAAGCTGAACACTAACACTCACTTTAGAATCCTCAAAAAGCATCTAGAGCAATATTTTTAAAAAATATTTATGTCATATCAGCTTTAAAACCCTTCTAACATCTGACTTAGAAAACCATATAAACGCCTTACCTGGACCTTACATTCAAGCACCCTTCAAATACCTCCTTATGTTCAAACCACAAGGGTCTTCTATATATTTCTAGGACACAAGTGTACTATCTTTTCAGTGATTTTTGCCTGTCAATTTTGCTGCTGTTTTGTATTTAAATTACAATTCAGATCTTTGTATATATTTTCTTTCAGGAGTCTCAATTCCAGCCATCTTAACCCAGTAAGCATTGGCTAGATGTGAATTACTATTTATGAGATTCCATCAAAATATTGGAGATTTATGTCTCAGAAGAAAATTTCTGCCATTAAATGTTCAAATTGACTTAATAAAAATAATCACTGTTGAAATTTAAAAAGACAACGTCTAGCTAGAAAAGGTAGCTAAATTTACATTTAGTTTTCATTAGACAACATAAAAACTAGATTTTCATTAGTAAACATAAAAGAGCCAAAGGCCACAAGAGATAAATGTGCTTTAAAAAAAATAACAGCTTTATGAGAAAGGACAACATTCATTGTTAGTAAGGCAGTACACTTCCTAATATTATGCAATAACATCCTGTTTGGAGAAGATACATGAAATTCATAGGTCTAGTCATGCTATCCTTAATTCTTTTTCTTTCAACTGCTTTCTTACAGTTGTTTCATAGGATTCCTTCTGAATGAAGACATTAGTGCTGTGCATATTTTAAGAAAAATGGAAATCCATATTATTATTATCAAAACATAATGTCATTCCACCACAGACTAAAAAGTTGGAAAAATCACCTTTTCCTAGCATTGGTATTTTTCAGGTTTTGTTGTTCTTTATACCCTAATCACAACAGGAATATCAGGATAAGATACATGTTATTCCTTCCTTACAAGATATGTTGGGGGCTATAACAGAACATGAAGTCACTACTTTCACTGATTTCTAGAATCTGTATGTATAGATGTTTCAATTAAATATCTAAAGACTGCATCCATAATTTGAGCTTTGGAATACACACACACACACACAAACACACACACATGCACACACACACACACATTCCAATCAGGGTAAACATAGCAGATGGGAAAGGCGAAGTTCAGAGAGGTTACATGTTTTGCCAACACCACCCAGCTATTAATATAGTAGAGTCTAAACATACTCTTTTCATTTGCCCTCAGCAAAACAATGAAACAACTGTAACTAATTCCACAAAATCCTGGTCCTACCCAGAATAATTAGATCAGCAAAGACTCTAAAAACTGAAGTAGTTCAGAGAGAAACAGTTTTCTACACTGGTATTTTCACAACATCCTCAGAAAACTCAAGATATTTTAATATATCTTTCAAGTGTTTATTTGAACAAATGAAAAGACATGCTAATTAACCATTCTTTCAAAATTAATTCCTTTTAATTACTGTTTGACTTCAATTTCCTGATCTTATAAAAGCATGTCAGCAGGTTGAAAAATTTCCTGAGATTTGTTTCATTTTTCCAAGTCCTGACAATTACAATTAAGTACATTCAAAAGGTCTCTAAAAGAGAGTTTGGAGAAAGTTTCACTTCATGGATTTTGGCTATCATTCATGATTAAATCGAGCTAATATATGTTAGTCATGGTAATTTATGTTTTAGGATGTCCTATAAAATTAGTTGGGGGAAATTATTTTGAAAATGGCTTAATCTCAACTGTTTACCAGTCTATGAATATATTATAAACTTTAAGTTTTACTTGTTGGTAAAGGTAAGAGCAGGCAGAGGGAGAAACACTCCTCCAGCCTGGAGGCTTTCTAGAAGGCACTATGAATCATCGCTCATAACCATTCACCATATATGCAAACCTATAGTACCATGCCTTTAGAACTATTTCCAACCTAGTTAAAGAGCCCACGTGCTCACAGTAGAGTTTGTAATAAACAAAGAAAATACTGCTCATATTTTTTTATACACACATGGTAAATTCTGTTCTTCAAACATAGTTGTTCCGAATAAAATAAAATAGTCACCACTTACAATTAGAAGTAAGGTTTACTGCCAAAAAGATCAGACTCCAGAATTAAATTGTCCAGATCATCAGAAACACACACACACACACACACACACACTAAGACAAGTTAAAGATCTTTAAAAACACGAAAAGCCAAAACAAAATAAAACAACCTTGGATATATGTCATAAAGGAGCCCAGTTACCTCCACTGTTTTGATGCTATCACATGCATAATTATACCCCACAGAAACACTTGTGATGCACTGAGATCAGATGGCTTCTTAAGCCAGCAGAAAGGCATGCATGAAAATGCCTAAGGCATTGACAAATTCAGTCACTTCTGGGAATGATGCTAAGCAATATAGATTGAGAATAAGTATAATTCTTACCATCTGAGACTGACTTCTAGGACATCCATTGATATCTTCAACTTTTTCATTTGCTAAAGCCAAAAAAGAAAAATAAAAGAGAGAGAAAAGAATGACATGCTTAAGCAATGAAATGAAACACACACGCACACGTACAAACACACACACACACACACACAAAGACTTTAAAATAAATATATAAAAAAACACCAAACAAAAAATTGCAGCTGCTACATTTACTTGGCCTCCCAAGCCACATACAGGAGAACACCCTTGTTAGCAGCCGATAATTCCATGTGCACAAATCAAGCAAAAAAAAAAAAAAAAGAGTAAGAAGGAAGTTGCTGCAAATCCATCAGCATGTGGCAAGTGACTACTGACATGAAACCCTTTTATGATTGTCCCTGCTAGATCAGGGTACAGTTACTCAGAAACAGAGTCTCCAAGTGTAGGAATTGCTTCAGCTAACAAAATACACACATGGAAGGCACATGGTTTAACGAAGCATTCATTTCTGACAGCTCAGTATATGTAAAGATATGGTTCTAGCTATAGAAGGGTATGGCTCAAACTCTTCTTCAAATGTCTTCACTTAAACATATTTAATTAACTCAGGGGAAAGCCACATTCATCTCCAAGACACAGAACAAATTTGGTATGCATCCCACTTCAGCTGTATTTTGCCAAAGAGCTAGTAGCCAAGTCTCTCATGCTTTCTCTCAGAAGCAGGTCTTACCAATGATCTGGATGATTTCTGCTAGCAATACTCCGTCCGCAATGTCCTGTTGTAAATCCTTGATCAGCCGCTTGTGTCCTGATTTTGCTAGGTAGTGGTTGGCCCAGTCAGTGTAAATCTGTTCAACATAATGAGGGAAAGAGAGACAATTTAAAAATGCCCGAGACAAATGTTAGATTCAAAGGGGAGCTATTCTGGATCGCATTCCAGCTTAAGAAGTCACAGCTCAAAAGGAAATAGTTGTAAAATAATTTTTAAACAGTTCTTCCCCCTACTTATCTCTTGTTACAAAGGAGGATGATTCATTCTTTCAAAATCACAGGCCAGTCACTTCTGACAAGGCAAAGCTCCCTTCCCGAATGACTACTCAGGAAACTTCTACTGTGAATCAGTTTGGGTTTCTCTCTCTTTCCATTTCATCAATCACTTTGAAAATAATCCTGTTTCTTTTATGTAAAAGGAAGCCACCTGGACTGACTAATACAGAGCATTCATAAAAGTGTGTGTTTCTTGAGATGACATTATTGAATTTGTCACAGGAGAGACTATATGTGACAATATTCTGGCATCATTTTATGAAATAATTGCCAATGCTTTCCTTGCTATGATATTTTATTTGGACTGTCATCTCTCATTTAAGCCTTCTGAAATGTGTTTTTATTAGAGAACATAGGCAGCAAATGGAATTATAGCATAGAAATTACAATGCAGAATTAAGAACTATATTACAAGTCACAGGAAAGGCGATGTGACATGGAGTATAAGTGACTCTTTGCCAACAGTTTGTGCTTTACAATAAAGTAGAATGCCATTAAAATGCATAAATATATATGTTGCTAATTCTTATGGGACGATGTGATCTCCTATACTATAAACCTAAAAATTAAGCATGAGGAATATCTACATGTTATACATGGAGAAATTAGCAAATTTATTATGAGGCAGATTATGTGACACAATAGTAACAATGAAAATGTGAAACAAAAGTACAGGAAGGGAAATGAATAATAAATATGCATATACCAAGTGTTATTAGAATCCCTAGAATTAGAACCAAGAATAGTAAGAGAACTTGAATCTGGGGTATGCAAGGAAGGGCCTTCCTCACAGATAATATGACATATGGAAAAGCAAAATCTATACAGAACAGAACATAGTTATAAAATATGAGATTGAGGTAGGATGCCTAAAATAAAGACACATAGGATCAGAAAATAAGCTATATCCTATACCCATAAGCACTGAATGTCAAGAAAACTACCCAAACCCCCACATTTTAAAAAAAATTCCTGACAAAACAAATAGGTATGTTTGTACTTAGTAAATAAAACTCAGGTATAGAAGCTGGTGGCTTATGCCTGTAATCCTAATTATGATCTGAGGGTCACAGTTCAAGCCAGCCTAGACAGAAAAGTTCCTGTGAGACTCTTACCTCAAATAATCACTCAAAAGCTGTAATTGGCGTTGTCACTCAAGTGGTGGAGTGCTAGCTTTAAGCAAAAAGTGCTAAGGGACAATGCCAAGGCTCCCCTCCAACACACAAAATTCTAGGGTGTAGAGAATAAAAAGTAAGAGTCTCACCATAACTTGGACCAATTGATTTTTACTCACATTGTGAGCGCGTGTGCGCGCGCGCGCACACACACACACACACACACACACACACACGGTGACATTTTAAACCAGATGTCTCAAATTTTCTATCATTCTTCAATTTCTACGTTTTGTTTAACAATACTTTAACAGCACTTTGTTTTGGTGGGGGAGGGGGCCTGGGCGCTGTCCCTGCGCTCTTCAGCTCAAGGCGAGCGCTCTACCACTTGAGCCACAGCACCACTTCGGTTTTCTATGGCACCCAGCCATACTAAGTCTTTTTTTTTTAATTGTGAAAATACTGTACAGAGGGGTTACAATTACATGGGCAAGGTAATGAGTACATTTCTTATCAAGCATTGTAGCCTCCTGCTTTGTTTCCCCTTCACATCCCTTCCCATCCTCCCCCAACCCCACCCTGCGCCAAAGTTGTAAAGTTCATTTTTGACATAACGTCTTGTACATCTCATTGTTGCAATGGGTCCACCTGTATCCCTATTTAAACAATTTGTTTTTGCCCTTCCCCTCCACAAATTATACCAACATCAAATACAGTGAAAGCAGGGATTATACCATGGGAGAGGGATATACAAAGCAACAAAGAACTATGTTATAAAAATGTTACAAACATTAGTAAGAAAGAAAAACCATTTGAGTCCTTATCTTGGGGTTCATTTCGCTTAACATCAACTTATCTGACTGTTTCTGCTTGTCTCAGACATACATTAGTTATTGCAAATAAGGGAAACCATGGGACCTATGCTTCTTTGGGCCTGGCTTACTTCACTTAATATAAATTTTTCCAAGTCTTTCCATTTCCTAACAAATGCGGCAATGTCATTCTTTCTGATGGAAGCATAGAATTCCATTGTGTATCTGGAACTCAAAAAATTAAATCCCAACAATACTTTAACAGCACTTTTAAAAGCCATCTAACATATGTTTCTCTCATTACTTTTGATGACATGTAAAAAATCTTCTCATCAAAGAACATAACCTGTTAAGAGTGTGCTTTTATTATAGCTCAAATTGTAAGAGACCATTTTGTATATTCATGCTAGTATTGATAGGACTAAAATCTGTAAAATTATATATATTTAAGAAATGCAAGCTGGGTGCAGTGGCTCATGCCTGAAGTCCTAGCTACTCAGGAGGCTGAGATCTGAGGATCACAGTTCAAAGCCAGCCTGGGCTAGAAAGTCTGTGAGACTCTTTTCTCCAATAAACCATTCAGAAAACCAGAAGTGGTGCTGTGGCTCAAGTGGTAGAGCACTCGCCTTGAGCTGAAGAGCTGAGGGACAACACCCAAGCCCAAAGTTCAAGCCCCACAACCAAAAAACTAAAATAAATAAAAAGAATCCAAGTATAGGCAATCCAAAATAAAAATATGCAAGATGAAGAGTATTTGTTTTAGAATCTAATATATATATATATATATATATATATGTAGAGAGAGAGAGAGAGAGAGAAACTCCATTTGCTGCATAACAAGAGGATTCAGTTGCACAATCAAATATTTATGGTAGAAAACTTTTCTTTTCTCCCTTCTCCCTTCCCCTCTCCTTCTTTCTGCCTCTTCATCTTCCACTTCCTCCTCCCCTTCCTCTTCTTCTTCCTTTCTCTTCTTCCTCCTCCCTTTCCTTTTCCTCCTCTTTCTTCTTCTTCTTGTTTTGGGACCTAGCTTGGACTCAAGACCTCAAGTTCAAGCTCTTCCTGTTTTCTTGCTCAAAGCTAGTGCTCTATCACTTACACCACATCTCCAGTACAGTATTTTGCTGATTAATTGTAGATAGGATTATCTGGGACTTTTCTGCCAAACCTGGCTTTAAATTGTGATTCATTAGATCTTATTCTCCTGAGCAGGTAGGATTACAGGGTGCCTACCTGAAATCAGTATGTTCTGAAGAGATGTTATAATCTACCAGGCCAAATATAAAACAATTACAAAGTAATATATAAATTTTAACCTTTTTGCATACATGCATACATACATACATTCATACCTCAGGGCGTTATGTTTGTTGGGAAATTGCTCTACCACCGAGCCACCCCCTTGAGCCACACCACTCTCTCTCTTTACTTTGGGTTATTTTCAGATAGATCTCCTGTTCTGACCCAGGACACCCTCACATCATGGTCATCCTTTCTATACCTACCAAGTAGATGGGAATGCAGATGTGCATAACTACATCCAGCTGGTATGCTGCTAACATTTTGCCTGGGCTGGCCTTGAATAGCAGGTCATCGGATCTCTTTTTCCTGAATAGCTAGTACAGGCATGAGCCACCATGCTTGGCCTTGATACCCTGTACTCTTTTTTTGTTTGTTTGTTTTTGTTTTTGTTTTTTGGGGGGGTCCGGTCGTGGGGCCTGAACTCTGGGCCTGGGCGCTGTCCCTCAGCTTTTCAGCTCAAGGCTAGTGCTCTACCACTTGAGCCATAGTGCCACTTCCGTCTTTTTTCTTTTTGCTTATATGGTGCTGGGGAATCGAACCCAGGACCTCGGGCATGCAAGGCAAGCGTTCTACCACTGAGCCACCTTCCCAGCCCGATACCCTGTACTCTTACACTGTTTACAAGGAATTTTTTTCAATGTGACAAATGAGATGTCTTTGATGACACAGTATACATGAAAAAAAAGTGTGCAGTATAAGTGCATTTAAAACAGCAATAAAGCCAGGTGCTGGTGGCTCAAGAGGCTGAGATCTGAGGATCTGAGGATCATGGTTCAAAGCCAGCCCGGGCAGGAAATTCCAAGAGACTCTTATCTCCAATAAACCACTAGAAAACCAGAAGTGGTGCTGTGGCTCAAGCAGTAGAGCGCTCGCCTTGAGCTGAAGAGCTAAGGTACAGCGCCCAAGCTCAGAGTTCAAGCCCCAGGACCCACAAAAAGCAAAAACAAAACCAGAAAAAAAAACCAAAAAACTTATCGATACATTTCTGCAATGCTCTGATGCGAGGACAACTACCTTGTCAACCTTTATTAGGATTTGTTGTTTGAATGAATATAATAAAAAAAATGATGAAATCGTGACCTGATTTTGGGTTCAAAGATGCTCTTGATTTATCAACATGCAAAAACAATTAGAATATCTAATCTGCTAGTTTCCACTGATTGACTTAAAAATATGCAATGAATATTTTGTTGGATTATGCTATGAATTAATTACCAGTCTTTAGCGAAACTAATATAATTTGGAATATTAATCATAAATCAATATTTGTAATTTCTCTAAGAGAGTTATTGAAGATTTCAGTCAACCAGATTATGGCCAAATCTTCAAATATTGTGTCTCTAAACTTCTAAAGCCAATTTTCTTCATGTATTTTTGAGTAAGTGAATGCTACAAATTTTTAACACAGCAATTATATTACTGAAATAAGTATAATTCAAAATTATTATATTTTAGAAAATTTGGGAGAATTGATGAAAATAAGTTCACCACAGGGCAACTTACAAATTTGTTCATTTATAATAGAAAGCACAGATGTCATGACATATTTTACATTTAGAAGTTTGAATTATT